TCGGTCTTCTCTTGTACATATTCCTTCTCTTTGAGTTTCTTGTTTCAAGTAACACTGCCATTGTTGTTGCTGAGTTAGTACGGCAACCCGTGTACATGCGTACCCGTGTGCTGTTTATATGGTTTTGGTTTTTGTGAAAGTGCGCCGCAAAAGAGATGGTGGTGGGTAAAAGTATCAATGTTTGTTCAATGTATCCTTTTCTAATCCAAGTCATCGATCGGTAGCTTTGTCTACCTTTTCTGTTCTTTTGTTTTTATATTTTGTGCCTGTAACTTTCACTTTAGTTTGTACATAGCAAGATATTGAATCATCACTAACAAATAATTGGTATTAACTTGGGAGGCTCGGGAACTGACAACTGGCTGTTGATAAAAGTATTTGAAGGTGGGTTAAGTGCGCCAGTCCTGTCCTGTTATTGCTAGATAGTCGTTAGGAGGCGGCAAAGTATAGGCAAGTAACTCCAATCAAAGCAAGGTATAATGCTAGGGGGGAAAAGTGTCTCTCTCTTATGGCAACATAATGACAAGGTATACGCCTTTTGCAAGGCATCATGCTAGGAAACTGCTTAACGGTCCTCTACTGGGCTCTTGCCTGTCATCAAACAGAAGCAAGCAAAGTATACATGAGCCTTCTCTACTATATTATTCAAAGCGTAGGCCAAACAAAGCAAAGTTCTATGAAGAAGATCCATAATCCTAGCTAGTTATTTGCCTGCGTACACATAGCATCTCCTTTCCGTACCCAAAAGGTTCGCCATACTTTCAATGCATATACATTACTCGGACTGATTCCTATGAACTATGAAATTAATCATATACCCTGGAAAAAGAAAATTTTGATTCTAACGGTGAGCCCCTTGGATTAAATTGAAGAACCATTTACATAAGCGGTGTTAAATGTGGATTGAACTTTTCTTGAAGCAATTTGGCTGACAATCTCCAATGAGCCAAGGCCTACTTCCATTTTTTGGGCATAAAACCGGTAGGATAAGGTAAGGGAGGTTATCAACTTCCATCTAATTTTCAGCATGTAATCCTCCTTGTCTTCTGATCTCATCAAACAGGATGACCTCTGGCTACTACAGTATACAGAATTGTCATGATTGAAGCTTGTTCCACAAAAAGAGTGCTCTTCTTAGAATGGGATCCGCAGAAAAGCCTTCTGCATAAGCTCCAATTGCTCTCAGGAGGCTTATCAGTTTCTCTCCACCATCCTGAACCAGAACGCCACCAAAGAGAGACTTACCATATGGAAATTCCATCTATTTGAAAATTTTTACAAATATTTAAGGAAATATACTACTCTTTTAACAAATTACTATACACACCTCTGGTTTCCGGAACACGAGATCAGATGTTTTAAAAGGCACCATGTATGGTGGTAGATCAGATCTCAGGGTTGCCTGTGAAGGAGCTTTGAATAAGAAGCTATGAATTTAAGTAAAATAAAAAATGAAAAACCTACATAGCTAGAAGACTAGAAGTACATGTGCAATATATATGAGAAAAATGGAGAAACTTGATACCAAATTGCTTCTAATAACTTGGTAGTGATGTGGCCTAATCTTGTCCCTACAGCTACATTAGAGTTGGTGAATGGTGGTTGATGCTCTATCTTCGAGGTGTGATGTAGGGGCAAGATTAGGCCACATCACTACCAAGTTGTTTTAAGCAACTTTATATATATATATATATATATATATATATTCTCAAAAGGAACGATCATTTTTTATATATTGGGAGAATTGTATTCCTAAATGGATAAACATTTGTAACATAACAGATTCCGCTAATACAATACATTAGATACTAATTCCTGATTGCACATATAAATGGCATGTATTAGACATGTAATTTAACTTAATTATAGTTATAGCCAGGAAAACATTTGTCATAATTTTTTTTTTCCGAATATGTTTTTTGAACATTGTATTCAAGGATATTCGCATATTGAGTATATTTAGGATATCAAATACACTCAGTAGCCATATTTGGACAGTATCCAAATTAGAATAATCTTCAGCGGGTCTGAATTCAGTCAGTTCTGAAGATTGATTTGGCTATAATGAATTCAAATATAGGTTCAAATAATCACATTTGGAACCAGAATCAAAGAATCACTCCTTGTATTATATCCTCTATTTTTTACAAAAGCCTTAGTTCAAGGATGACTGCCTGATAATCTTTTACCACTTGCAAGTTCCTTGGTCTTGAGAACATTGAAAGTATGACGAGACGTATAGACTATGGAAAGAGATATGACGTAAAGTCTGATCATCAGGCTAGCAATTTTTTTTTTGATTTAAACGAGAACTACTGTGCTGCATGTTTTCGTCAAAAGTTGGTATTGCTGTGGAATTCATTATATCTTCGGTCGATTACAACAAATTCAAAAGATAGTCTTTTTATAAGACGTCTTTTACACAACAAAGAGAAAATTACAACTTTTTAGAAACAAACGCAGGATCGTTGTTTGGATCGCTGCTTGCGTGAGATCTTTGCCTGTGTCGGGAGTGCTTTGACTCGTGGACCACCAATTCACAGATTCTGATTGAATCTTGAGGGGTTTAATGATTCTTCCTTCGTTTATCGAAGTGAGAATTTGAAACGATATCTTATCAAAGTAAGATAGTCGTTCTTCTTGAAATCAAGTCAAAGCTCGAATCTCAAGGGATGGCTAGAAGCTCAGGAACTCTGCTCTCTCTGCTCCAAAATGCTCAAGAATGATCAGCCCCCTTAAACAAATGATCACAGGGGGTATTTATAACCCCTGGACGAATAACCACTTCCGAGACAGTGTTTGCTGTCTCGGCGGTCGAGACAGCAAAGACTGTCTCAGGTTCCGAGACAGTAAATGTTGTCTCGGAAATTCTCAACCGCCCAGCAGTTTTCTTGTAACTGCCTTCCCACGTTTTACAACTCCGTTATTTTGGCAGTTATCAACGTGATTCTCGCCCACGACGTTTCCCACGTTCTTGAACAATTGGTGGCCACGTGTCGGCGGTTACAAAACAGTTTCTGACTTCTTTGAGAGCTATCTCGTGGGCGAGACAGAGAATACTGTCTCGCGGGCGAGACAGAGAATGCTGTCTCGCATGGCGAGACAGAGAACACTGTCTCGCCTGCGAGACAGTAACAACTGTCTCTGCCTCGCCTGGCGAGACAGAGAATACTGTCTCGCCTGCGAGACAGTAAAGACTGTCTCGCGTGCGAGACAGCCCATACTTGTATTCTCTTGATTTGAATGATTCCCTCTTGAGTTATATTTGAATATCTTTTTAGCATTTTTTGACGCCTACAGATACCTCCTCTAAAGTATTCCAGACTCATTCTTGTATAGAGAAGTCCGGGATACTTTGGATAAGATAGATTTTACTTACGATATCTTCAATACTTGATTGAGTAGATTGTGTGGAGAAATCCATAAAATGGCTTCGGCTCTTGATCTCTTCATCCATTAGTCTATTCAGTTCTTTGTAGAATAGCTAATGCTTCTCCGGCACTGCGTTTATCGCTTGACCGTTGTTGAGATCTTGAATCGAGGTCGGTATCTCTTTGACTTTTATCACCAAATTGATACTTGTATGTCCCTCGAGAGTTCGTCAGGTTATCCTTAAGAATATTCAGATTAATATTCTCTAGAAACTTCCTGTTGAATGTAGGAAAACAGTTTAGACTCGTGTACCTATTGAAGTATTTTGGTCTGTTTTTTGTTGGTAGAGATGAACCCGATGATGGAGAGGAAGAATTTTATATTCTATCTCCTGGTCTCTTGTTTGTTGGTAGAGATGAACCCGGAATCGAAGAGGAAGAATTTTATATTCTATCTCCTAGTCTCTTGTTTGTTGGTAGAGATGAACCCGGAATCGGAGAGGAAGAATTTTATATTCTATCTCCTGGTCCAAAGGAAACTCAAAGTGAGATCTCGAGTTTTGAGGTGATCCTAACTGTAGGAAGGTTTGATTACTCGATTTATGTACCTCTCGTTCGTGGAATGAATCGAGAAGGGATTTTGGTTGTGGTCCTAACTGTAGTAAGGTTTGACCAAGTAAGAGTTTTGAGACGATCCTAACTGTTTAAAGGTTTGATCGTTCAATTTGTGGACCTCTCGTTCATGGAAGGAATCGAGAGGGGATTTTGGTTTTGGTCTTAACTGTTTAAAGGTTTGACCAAATAGGCAGTGAGATGATCCTAACTGTTTAAAGGTTTGATCATTCAATTTGTGGACCTCTCGTTCATGGAACGAATCGAGAGGGGATTTTGGCTTTGGTCCTAACTATTTAAAGGTTTGACCAAATGGGATTTTGGCTTTGGTCCTAACTGTTTAAAGGTTTGACCAAGATGGGAATTCGAGACGATCCTAACTGTTTAAAGGTTTGATTGCTCGATTTGCGGAGCTCTCGTTCATGGAAGGAATCGAGAGGGGATTTTGGCTTTGGTCCTAACTGTTTAAAGGTTTGACCAATTGAGGGTTTTGTGAGGGAAGATTGATCTAAAGAAGTGATCGAATCTCATCTCAGCAAAAGAGTATTCGGAAATCACCGTGGGGATGTAGTGTTTATCACTTTATTTGTAATGATCGGGTTATCCCTAAGAAAATTACATATAGCATTCTTCTGAGAACTTCCCGTTACATGAACCATCCACCGCCAGCTTCTTTCGCGAAACTGGGTCTAACATCATACTGAGTTACATGACCGGGTTATCCTTAAGGATATTACATGTAAAAATTCTCCAGGAACTTCCCGTCAAGAGTGCGAAACAGTTTAGACTAATATACCTATTGGAGTATTGAGGAGCAGTTTATACTCGTATACTCTTCGGAGTTTTGAAAAGCAGTTTATACTCGTATACTCTTCGGAGTGACATGAAGAAGCAGTTTATACTCGTATACTCTTCGGAGTTAAGGGAAAACAGTTTATACTCGTGTATCCCATGGAGTTAAGGAGAACAGTTTATACTCGTGTATCCAATGGAGTTTAAAAGTCATCTTTACTTGGCTTGTTTCGCCGTTATGACGCCGGAGTCAATTAAGGCTTGGATTTTGTTTTTGAGTCCAAAGCAAATCTCGGTGGGATGAAGAACCCTTCTGTGGTACGCATAGTAGTTTGGATCCGTAATCCTCTTAGCTCCCTCCTGATCTTTAATAGGTGGTAGCTCAATTTTATCATTGGCGATGAGGTATTTCAAGATGGCTGGAGCTTCATCATCTTCGAAAGAATACTCCTTTTGAAACCTCGGATCGGGAGTCGCATTCCCAGTGATTGCATATGTCATCGGTCGGCTTCTCTCAGCTTTCTTTCTTTTAAGAAAATGTTCAGCTTGTTCACCGCGTATTTTTAAATCTTTTCAAGTTTTGGATGGTACGACCCCCAGGGCTTCCAGGACATCGATAGAGAGATTATTGTGGCATGTTTGCAGGATGAACTCCTCTGTAACAGGATCTCTGCAATTCAATGCCTTGTTACGGAAGCGCTTGACAAAATTGTCGACTGACTCTCCGTCTTTTTGCTTCTCATCTAAAAGGGATCCGATTGACACTTCAGTGTTGTCATCGAAGAAATTGCTGAGGAACAAACTTTCCATGTCATCCCAGAAATTGCTGAAGAAATATTATCCTTTTTTGGATGATATTCCTTTTTGAGCTGTATTCGGATATCTCCCAGCAAATGGGAATTCGAGACGATCCTAACGGTTTAAAGGTTTGATCGTTCAATATGTGGACCTCTCGTTCATGGAAAGAATCAAGAGGGGATTTTGGTTTTGGTCCTAACTGTTTTAAAGGTTTGACCATGTGAGGACTTGAGACGATCCTAACTGTTTAAAGGTTTGATCGTTTAATTTGTGGACCTCTCGTTCATGAAAGGAATCGAGAGGGGATTTTGGCTTTGGTCCTAACTGTTTAAAGGTTTGACCAAATAGGAGTTTGAGACGATCCTAACTGTTTAAAGGTCTGATCGTTCAATTTGTGGACCTCTCGTTCATGGAAGGAATCGAGAGGGGATTTTGGTTTTGGTCCTAACTGTTTAAAAGGTTTGACCATGTGAGGACTTGAGACGATCCTAACTGTTTAAATGTTTGATCGTTCAATTTGTGGACCTCTCGTTCATTAAAAGAATCGAGAAGGGATTTTGGCTTTGGTCCTAACTGTTTAAAGGTTTGACCAAATGGGAATTTGTGAGGGAAGATTGATCCAACGAAATGATCGAATCTCATCTCAGCAAAAGAGTATTCGGAAATCACCGTGGGGATGTAGTGTTTATCACTTTGTTTGTAATGATTGGGTTATCCCTAAGAAAATTATATATAACATTCTTTCGGGAACTTCCGTTACACGAACCATCCACCCCTAGCTTTCTTCGCGAAACTGGGTCTAACATCATACTGAGTTACATAACCGGGT